GCTCTGCTTCTTGCCAGCAGTCCTTCACCTGATCTCCTCCGGCCAGCCTCCCTCTCCTCCCCCCCGCCAGCTCTGCTTCTTGGAGCGCCCCCCCTTCCTCCCGGCCAGCCCCGCTCCCCTCCTGGCTGGTTCCTTCCTCCGCTGCCCCCGATCAAGTGTGTCCAGGGTTTTTTAGACTACCTGGTAACCGTAGCCGCGGGGGGCAGGGCAGGTGCCTGAGCTGTTGTGTGCGTGGGGGTGGGATGAGCCCCGGATGGTGCTGGGGGTGCAGGCGGCGGGCATGTGACCTAGGGTAGGCGGGGCTGCCCCTGCAGTGTAGTGTGGTGGGTTATATTTTATTTTTACAGGTTGAGATTGGGCCCAATTGGGTCAAAAAATACTTTAAAACCTTCTCCTGGAGGAAAGGTTATCCCATGGAAAATTTTGTTTCGGTAGCTCTTGTAGTGTCCAAGTTATTAGAGCACAAACATTCAAACATTCTCCTTTATATGTTATATTAATAAACACATGAATTCTGCGATTTACAGCTCTGAGATACCCAAGTTGGGTGAGGTAATATCTTTTTTATTGGACCAACTTGTGTTGGTGAAAGAGACAGGATTTCAGGCCTTGAAAGTTTACCCCTTTCACCAACACAAGTTGGTCCAATAAAATATATTACCTCACCTACCTTGTCCCTCTTTGTGTAGGTCCAACACAGCAACAACAGTGCAAATAACTTTTTTTATTCAGACACGATTGTGCCCCTTCCCTTCTTTAGGTTAGTACACTGACTTTTCTTAAATTTTTAGGAGACCTAAGATGTTCACAGTGTAAGCAGATATATTATTGCTCTACAGACTGCCAGAAGAAAGATTGGTCTGCACATGGTATTGTATGCAAGCCAGTGAAACAAAGGTAAGTTAAGGATGTTAAAGCAATATCTTGTAACTCAGAGAATCTTAAAATAGCCAAATTATAATTACTCTTGATTTCATTCTATTTTTTAACCATAATTTAAATGATCTGTGTTGCTTGGTCTTGTACTTAAAACTTATTCCACATTGTAAATCTAACAATCATAAGGATATGGGGCAGGAGGAGGACAGAAATTAAAAAAAGAAGAAAAGCTCACAAAGGTGACAGAAAATGGCCTTTTAGAGCTTTATACTGTGCTTGAATGGTTATGAATTTTTCTAAGTTTACATGTAAAAACATGTCTCTTGTAAGTTACACACCGCAGATGAATTTGGGGTATGAAAAATCAGGCTGATTTTTTTCCCCTGTGTCTCGTTACCTGACTAGTAATACAGATTTTGCAGCCAGAGTCTACCTATCACTGTGGTTCTACTTCTACTTGCTGCTGCTACATAGATTAACTTCTTTTAATTCTATTACATGCATGCTTTATACTATTCTTCCATGTGTGCAATAACATGGTTACGTGCAATGAAATCCTGCCATATTGAAGTAGATAGGAATTTTGCCATTGCCTTCAGTAGTGACAGAATTTCACCCAAGAATGTTTTCTCCAGTGAGAGGGTAGGTTAGGTGGTCCATGAAAAAAAGTTTGCCCTTTACTTTGACTGAACCCCAAAGACAAATATTTTTACCCTTGAACAGACTTTTGGAGAGTAGGGATGTTAAAATTGGATGAATCAACTAATCAAATAGTCAGATTCATTTCCATCGATTATTTGATTAGTCAATAAGGGTGCTTCACTTTGAAACGTAGCAAGAGCCTGCTGGACTGTTGCTACTTTTCAAAGGCAGAAATGCCACACGTTGTTCCCCCTTTGAAATGTACAAGAGCCCCAGCAGGGCCTTTAAGTCAGCTCCCCCCAGTATACCCTCCTTTGCTCTCCCACCCCCTTGCTGCCTCTTTCTGATAAAGGCAGCAATGGGGGGGAGGCGGCAGTGACCAGTGGACTACTGTGTTGACTATCTGATAAGTTTTTGCTTGTTGGATAGTTGACTACGTCCCTGTTGGAGAGTACCAACCTTACTAACCTTTACGAACATGTTAAATGCCAATTATATGGTAATGTTTAATATAAAAGTACCCAGAGACATCACTCATACTTTTATACAGTATTTGAGGTTTTTATCCCAACCATAACTAGAAACTTGATGTCAGAGAATTGAAATTCTGGAGAAGAAAAGTTTCATAGAGGAGCTGGTACACCATTGTGCTTAGTCTGAGAACTGATTGGCCCAGATTTATTGATTGTTTTTTTGTTTTTGAGTTTGTATTTTTTGTAATAATTGAAATGAAAATTAATGCAACTTCACTACTAAAGTAAAATAAAATATCGCTGTCAAAAAATTTCTGAAAATTATCATTACAAAAAGTGAGACCCACTTCAGCATGCCTGTATATTAAATGTACATTTTAAAATCTTCTCCATTTGTCTTCAGGTACAAGAACTGTTGCTCTTCACCAGCTGTGCACTGTGGTTTAAAAAAAATAAAATAAATGGCCCTTACCTTACTTTATTAGACAGTCTGCATTGTAGATGCAGGTTGACACACATTTACAACGGTTAAGTCACTTAAAGCTTTAATTTAGTTCTTGAAGTACCAGTTACTAAAATGGCTTGATTTGCTGGTTCTTTAAACTATTAAATAAAGTCCCAACAGTATTAATCAACTGCTTTATTTCAGCTTAAAGAAAAGTGAAGGTAATGCCAAGTTGCCTGGTGAAATTAAGAAGAAAATGGATTTTGAGGTACAGAATGTTAACTTTTATTTTAATGGATCTGTTCTTGGGGAAGCCTACTGGAGGTTGGATATTCTTAAATATATCTTTATTAAATGTCTGAACTACGCAGCTTTTAGCAACAAAGTTGTATCAACATGGCTTTAATGCTAAATGTCAGCGTGTATGGACACCGTCAGCACTTTTGCTGACAAAATACTTTGACCCATAATAAGCTGGTTTCACTTTGTCGGCAGGAGTGCTCTTTCTGCCAAAGCAGCATTCACAAGGGCACTAGCCATGGCAAATCTTTGTCATTCACAGGGGACATGGGATTAAGCACCTGTGAATGACGCAACTTTGTCAAGCAAGTGCATGTGTAGACAGACATACCATAAGTTTAATGTGTTACTATAACATGTTTTAAACATTATAATGCTCAACTCATTATAGTGAAGAGAATAGAAAGAAATGTTGATTGCTTCAAAATATACTATTCCTTCAAATTAAACAAGCTAGTTCAAACAGCATTCCAAAATGACTGTTAAAACTAAAGTTTTTGACAAAGATAAGAGTTCAATTATTGCTCTGTACACATGTATCAGGAGAGTTCTGATTGGAGGGTAGACAAATATAAAATGTCAAATTCTTAATATGTTTTATATTGCCCATGTTAGCCCACACAGTTAACCATTATTGAGGAACTTGTAGGTTTAAAAATTGATGTCAGGTATTTCTTTGATTCAGTACCATTGATTTAGATTGTGTGTATATATAGTCCTGTTTCCCAGAATAAAAAAATAGTCATTTTCTTTGGTTGTAGTTGCAGAATTCTTTCCAGCCAGCACTCTAGCCAAAAAGCCCTCTTAGCTTTCTCTCTTGTCCGTAGTCTCTTTGTGGTCATATTTCCAGTGAAACCTTTCCACCTAAGTATTTCTGATTTCAGCTGGACATATATTGTGTGTGGTTTGGGCAGTTGCTCCAAAGAAGTAGCTTTCCTCCAAACATGTAGCTTAACTGCTTCTTATGTTTATCCTTAATGAAACACTGTTGTGGCCATCAGCTTCAATGAGGTCTTAACCAATTTCCATGATAACGTTTTCCTTATTGTAAGGTAAGTGGAGGGAAACTTGTCCCCATAAACTGATGAGTATAAATACATCTCAACTTCCCAATAAGATGAGCTTTCTGGTTATTTGCTATTTTAAATCCTAGGTTATAGGTCTGTTTGCTTTGATTGTAGTTTATATGTAGCCATATAAAATAGTCCAAATTTCCAGTGGTTATAGTGACGCATAACTCTCCAGGATGCATTAATCTGATTTAAAACAGCAAATGCTAATTGACAATAAAGGATCCTCACAAAAGAGAATATATTGATAATGAAATGAATAAATCCTTATATTTTGTTTTTTTAATAAATGCATAAAGAACAAGGTTCCATTTGTTTAACTTCCAGTTTAGTTTAAAATTTTATATTGTGCAACACTACAAGTATTACCAACTGATATAGTGAAGGAAATTTAATACATTTTATTCTTGCTTTGAAAAATGCATCTTACAGTATAGGATGTTATAGAAAAGCTTAAATACATGTGGATTCCAGTATACATATAAACTGATAAGCCATTATTGGGATCCCTTTGCTCACTGAAAAATGTTCTGGATACATTTTTTTTCTCTAGTAACATGTACAGAAGAGAAAATGTGTTACAGTTTAATAGTAAGAGATACATTACAATTAAAATTAAAATGGTGCTACAGGCAGTCCCTGGGTTACGTACAAGATAGGGACTGTAGGTTTGTTCTTAAGTTGAATTTGTATGTAAGTCGGAACTGGTACATATTGTAGGGGAAACTCTAGCCAAACATTTCTCCAGAGCTCAGTTTTATTCTCCCACACCTCACTTCCCTCAGTCCTTTATTCTCAAGCTGAGGTGTCTGCTGAGAAAAGCCGCTCCACGTCTCCCTGGTCTGCTGCGGGGGAAGCACTAGCTTCGGGTCTCCCTGGTCTGCTGGGGGGAAGCAGCTAGTGCGGGGTTGCCTCACCCCGTTTGTAAGTAGGGATCCAATGTAAGTCGGATCCATGTAACCCGGGGACTGCCTGTATATTCCGAGCAAATTAGGTATATATTGAAATCAGTGGGAATTAGGTGCTTAAGTACCTTTGAGGTCTTGCGCTTTTGAATCTGCTTGAAAATAAGACACATATGCTCACGTTTCATTGGCGCTTTAGTAGCTCCAAGTCTCCTTTTTTTTTTTTTTTTTTTTTTTTTTTTTTTGGTGTGCGTGTGGTATTTCTAATTCTGCAGTAAGACCAAGCCAAGTTTAATTTCATTTAGATTCGCAGGTCAGGTTAAACTAGTTAGCAAAGCAGTCCTACTTTTTTTTAAGTTACTTAAGTTCTTTCATACTAACGGTAATTATTGCTCTTTAATCTTCATAACTGTATGCTTGTACTTCATGCTTTCAAACACACTCTGTATGAAACAGTGCTCGTGTGTCAGAGTTATTGCTCTGAGCAAGCAGTGAAGAGTTAAAGGACTATAGTAACATTGTGCTCTATATTGGAGTTACATGCTTTTGAAAAATTTATGCCTAAGTTGACTTTCTGTTAGGGATGTCAGTGTGTAGTTAACTATATGATTAGCCACTAACCTTAGGCTTATCAGTTAATCTTATTGACTACACACATCCCCCCCCACTGCTGCCTCAGCATCAGGAGGCAGTGAAGAGTTAAAGGACTATAGTAACATTGTGCTCTATATTGGAGTTACATGCTTTTGAAAAATTTATGCCTAAGTTGACTTTCTGTTAGGGATGTCAGTGTGTAGTTAACTATATGATTAGCCACTAACCTTAGGCTTATCAGTTAATCTTATTGACTACACACATCCCCCCCCACTGCTGCCTCAGCATCAGGAGGCAGGAGAGGCTGCCGCAAAGCCGTCTCTCTCCACGGGGGGGGGGGGGGGGGGGGCGGAGGGGACGG